AGGATTGCACTTTATTCATGCACGACTATACTTCAAGTGTTACTAAACCCAGGAATCTGCATTCACTATATCTGGTCTCCAATAGTACACGGAAATGCAATTATTTTAGTAAATATAAACTGCTAAATACCTTTTCTCATCAGCAGTTAGAGCAGTCTTGTGACTTCTAGCAGTGTGTAGCTAAGCACTTGTTAAGACTTATGGAAGTAGTTTTCATTCTGCTCTGATTGTCCTATGAGGCTGCGTGACCCCTGACCCTTCTGTCTGGACACTGCTGATTGGCCCTGTGCCAATCACATGCACCATCCCAAAAAAGAAAACAACTTTCTGGCAATACACACTAAACTGAGCATGTGCAAAGTGACTCCTAGAGCTCTGCAGTATCAGCAGACAGATTGGGGTCAGTAGAAAAAAGGGAGGATCAGAGAAGACAGGATCACACAGCATTTTTACACAATGCGGAGGATTAATCCCTTAGGTTCCACGTGAGTATAACGAGCATGCTTTACTGCGTATACAGTCTGATTTTACCGATGTGGGTTTAGTAACACTTTAACAAACATTTACCCTTAGGCCTCTTTCACACAGGCGGTTAGATTTCCGCTTTTAGCTGCAGTTAGATGCACTGATTTACCGCAGCTAAATGTAGACAATGCATCCTTATGGCTCTGTTCACACACTGCGTTTTTCATAACACGCTTTTATGCATTTAGAAAAAATAAAGTTGACAGCGTGTACATAAACGCAGTTATTCTCAGCACAAAAGAAAAAATAGGTAAAACAGTTGCTATACAAAAAGCAAAAATATACTACCCCAGCTAAACCAGCCGTATGTAAATGCAAGCAATCGCAGATAAACGCAGTGTACAAACGCAAGTGACCTCTGTGCCTGGAGTGCTGTAATAATTTTCAAATAATAAAACATGCAATTACATGCAGCAGAACAACCGACTGTGAAAGAGGCTTTACAGTATAATTTTGTACCTGGATTTTTTTTTGTTGCGACTGCATTGCATGGCTATGGCATTGCCCTATTCGCTTAAATGGGTCATGTTCAAATGCTACAGAGGGGATCGTTTTTGCTGCTGCTGCTTCATGTGTACACCCCTATCCAGCTGGCTTTGCAGCTTAAGGTGGGGGGGGGGTAGAAATGAGGCTCAAACACTTGGTTTTACCACCCCACTCCCCCAACCTGAAATCTAAGTACAAGCAGAGAGCAGCAAGTTATTATACAACATACAATTCATCCCTCCATGCTACCAAACAAGTCTACTTTGTCACTCTAATGAAATACTTATCCAGTCCTCGTCGTCTCTTCTCTACTTTTAACTCTCTACTTTCTCCACCTCCACCCAGTAACTCACTCACTGCTTACGAGATTGCAAATCATTTAAAAATCAAGATTGATGCAATTCGTAGGGGCATTTCCACTGCACAGACATCTATCGCACTTAGCATACCTTATTTATTTATTTCAGGCACTTATATAGCGCCATCAATTTATGCAGCACTTTACATATATATTGTACATTCACATCAGTCCCTAACCCTCACATCCTGCACATCAGTCATACATACACATACTAGGGTCAATTTTAGACACGATCCAATTCACCTACCAGCATGTCTTTGGAGTGTGGGAGGAAACCCACGACCTTGTACTAAACCTCCCTCAACATTTTCCTCTTTTGACCTTGCTACTACTGAAGAGGTCACTAAAGTTTTCTCTGAAGCCCATCTCACCACCTGCCCCCTGGATCCTGTCCCCTCACAACTACTACGGTCACCTTCTTCTTCCATCCTATGCTCCCTCACTCACATCTTCAATCTCTCCCTCTCTAATGGTGCCTTCCCCTCCCCTCTAAAGCATGCGCATATCACTCCCATACTTAAAAAGCCCTCGCTGGACCCCACCAACATGAACAACTTAAGACCCATCTCCCTGCTCCGATTTACCTCTAAACTCTTAGAACACTTAGTCTACAATCACCTGAGCTCCTACCTCACTGACAACAAGCTTCTTGACCCTTTACAGTCTGGCTTTCGCTCACTGCACTCCACTGAAACTGCCCTATTAAAATTCACTAAAGATTTACTAACTGCTAAAACCAATGGTCACTACTCTAAACTCTTACTACATGACCTCTCTGTGGCTATTGATACTGTTGACCATCCCCTTCTCCTCAAAAAACTCCACTCTCTTGGCCTCCGAGACTCTGCCCTCTCCTGGTTCTGCTCTTACCTATCGCAGCGCTCCTTCAGCGTTACCTATAACTCTGGCTCCTCCTCTCCACTCCCTCTTTCTGTAGGGGTCCCTCAAGGTTCTGTCCTTGGACCCTTACTCTTCTCCATATACACCTCCTCCTTTGGTCACGTGATAAACTCCCACGGCTTTAAGTACCATCTCCTCTCAAATCTATCTTTCTACTCCTCACCTCACCCCTTCAGTCTCCTCTCGCATTACTAACCTACTAAGTGACATATCGGTATGGATGTCACTCCACTTCCTCAAACTCAATCTTTCCAAAACGGAGCTCATACTATTCCCTCCAGCCCGTGCCCCCTCCCCTGACTTCTCCATCAAGATCAATAATACAACCATCAGTCCCTCCCCTCATGCCAGGGTACTAAGGTGTAATCCTAGACTCCCATCTGTCCTTTCAGCCCCAATCCAATCACTGTCCAAATCATGTAGACTTCACCTCCGCAACGTCTCCAAGATACGCCCGTTTTTTAACCTCTGAATTTACTAAGCAACTTATTAACTCCCTTGTCATCTCTCGCCTTGACTATTGTAACTCCCTCCTCATTGGCCTATCTCATCGCAGGCTATCCCCTCTTCAGTCTATCATGAATGCTGCTGCCAGACTCATCCACATTACTAATCGTTCCATAACTGTCATTCCTCTCTGACAATCCCTCCACTGGCTTCCCTTTGCCCAACGAATAAAATTAAAAACATTAACAATAACATATAAAGCCATTTGTAACTCTGCCCAAAATTACATCACCAATCTTGTCTCCAAATATCACCCCCAAACCGTCCTCTCTGCTCCTCGCACATCCTCTTTAGCTCCCTTGTCTCCTCCTCCTCCATGCTCGTCTCCAGGACTTCTCCAGAGCCTCCCCCATCCTCTAGAACTATCTAACCCTATCTATTTATCGCCTATTCTGCCCACTTTTAGGAGATCTCTGAAACCCTCTCTTCTCAGGGAAGCCTATCCTGCCTTCAGCTAATAACGGAATCTTCTATTCCTCCCATCAGTTCATCCCCCACAGTTATTACCTTTTGTACCACCAACCCCTCCCTCTTCTTTCCCTGCTCGTAAATCAGGGTGCTGTGAGAGGTTTTGTGCTGCGGCCTGCCCTCTGCTCTGTGCCCAGACTTACCCATTGCCTGCCAGCCTGCCCTCTCCTGTGTGCCCAGACTTAACTCATTGCCTGCCCGCCTGCCCTCTGCTGTGTGCCCGAACTTACCCATTGCCTGCCAGCCTACCCTCTGCTGTGTGCCTGGACTTAACTCATTACCTGCCAGCCTGCCCTCTGCTGTGTGCCCGAACTTACCCATTGCCTGCCAGCCTGCCCTCTGCTGTGTGCCCTGACTTAACTCATTGCCTGCCAACCTGCCCTCTGCTGTGTGCCCAGACTAACTCATTGCCTGCCAGCCTGTCCTCTGCTGTGTGCCCAGACTTAAATCATTGCCTGCCAGCCTTCCCTCAGCTGTGTGCCTGGATTTAACTCATTGCCTGCAAGGCTGCCCTCTGCTGTGTGTCCGGACTTACCCATTGCCTGCCCGCCTGCCCTCTGCTCCGTGCCCTGACTTAACTCATTGCCTGCCAGCCTACCCTCTGCTGTGTGCCCAGACTTAACTCATTGCCTTCCAGCTTGCCCTCTGCTCTGTGCCCGGACTTACCCATTGCCTGCCAGCCTGTCCTCTGCTCTGTGCCCATAATTGCCCATTGCCTGCCAGCCTGCCCTCTGCTGTGTGCTCGGATTTAACTCATTGCCTGCCAGCCTGCCCCCTGCCGTGTGCCTGGACTTAACTCATTGCCTGCCAACCTGCCCTCTACTGTGTGCCCGGACTTACCCATTGCCTGCCCTCTGCTGTTTGCCCGTACTTACCCATTGCCTGCCAGCCTGCCCTCTGATGTGTGCCCAGACTTACCCATTGCCTGTTGGCCTGCCCTCTGCTGTGTACCTGGTCTTAACTCATTGCCTGTCAGCCTGCCCTTTGCTGTGTGCCTGGACTTAACCCATTGCCTGCCAGCCTGCCCTCTGCTGTGTGCTCGGACTTAACTAATTGCCTGCCATCCTGCCCTCTGCTGTGTGGCTGGACTTACCCATTGCCTGCCAGCCTGCCCTCTGCTGTCTGCTCGGACTTAACTCATTGCTTGTCAGCCTACCCTCTGCTGTGTGCCTGGACTTAACCCATTGCCTGCCAGAACTGCCCTCTGCTGTGTGCCCCTTGGACTTAATCTTTGCCTGCCATCCTGCCCTTCTGCTGTGTGCCCCTGGACTTAACCCTTGCTATACCTATCTTGTGCCCTCCAAATCACTCAATAAAAGCCTTGTGTGCCCACTGCTCTCCATGTGTGTTCTGTCCCACCTACACCTCCGTCACACTGTATAATAATAATAAGTTATAGCATAAAATTCTCGTTATCAAAAAGCAATATTTGAAACCATGAAACAGGCTAGATAGAGTACTGAGTTATTGAATTGATAAATCCTTGGTGCAGATGACTTTTGCAATATTTGTTCCAGCCCGATGAACATGCAGGTGAGTGTTGCTTAACAGTGATGCAAGGAAGGAATTTAAAGAGCTGACTACGTGCTCTTTCATTAAATCCTCAGCCGGGATTGGAATGAGACTCTGGGAGGGACCCAAGGTTTTTACACTTCCTGATACATGTACAGCTGCTCATTCTGCAGGTGGATCTGCACATTCTGCTTCATTTCTCCGCAGTATGCCGTATAAAGATCTTATCAAGTATTGGCATGAAGGAGTCCTGGCAGCAGACAATCACAATCTGGATTCAGCTTTGGAGAGTTTCTTAAGCATTGAGGATGCCACATCAAAGATTTGGTTCAACATTGGATGTGTCCATGTCCTGAAAGGAGATCTGGAGAATGCCTTGGAGGTAAGTAGACTTCCAATGGTACTTTCCCTATTGCTGCTAACAGAGGCAACAGGGCAGCCTGGGTAGTTTATAAAAGAGCAAGCAAGCATAAATGGAACATTGGCTGTCCTCTTTAATTTTCTATTTGTTACAGGTACTTATAAAGCGCTGTAAATGTACGCAGCACTTTACATATATGTTGTACATTCACATCAGTCCCTAACCCTCAATGGGTGTACAATCTAAGGTCCCTAACTAACATTCATACATATACATACTAGGGCCAATGTTAGATAGAAGCCAATTAACCTACCAGCATGTCTTTGGAATGTGGGAGGAAACCAGAGTACACAGGCACAGGGAAAACATGCAAGCTCCACGCAGGTGGTGCTGTAGTTGGGATTCAAACCAACGACCCTAGTACTGCCAGGAGGAAGTGCTAACCATTTAGCCACTGTGCTGCTGTAAATGATTTATACAGACCAGCTCATACACATCCTATAAGATTCATATTTGGGTTATAAGAGATATGTATGGAGTTTTAACATTCACCGTGCAAAAAAAAATTAAAAATAAATACACATTGAAACAGGAAAGAAAAAAAAAGATACAAGAAATAGGAAACAGAAGCAAATAAGAGTCTGCAAAGGGAGACAAAATGATGTAGGGTACTGGGGAAACAAGTAGGAGAGGATTGTACAATATATGTGCCTTTAAAGGGTCTTTACAGGGGCTTAAAGTGACACTAAATGAGATCATTATTCTCCAGAAATAATCCATACACATCCATAACTTAATAGCCCTGTAGTCTATTTTTTCATGAAATAACTTGTTACTGTGTTTGCGTCCTTGTAACGTTCTCAGTTAGCTCCCGCACCTCTCTTATTCCCTCTCACTTCAGTTTGGGTAGAACGAGCAATGCCTGTTAATTGCAGTCATATGCTTTCGCTTGCTCCCTACATATCCTCAAAAAAGCCTATGAAAAAGGTACCAGGGGCATCTCATGGGGCCCCCTACTGACCCCGGGCCCTCTGGCAGTGCCCGAGTTTCCAAATGGTCAGTCCGCCCCTGGTGGCTATGTTTTTCAAGTTAAAAAATATATACTTGAATATGTATATTTTTATACAGTTTAGTATTACGGGACCGTTAAAACCACTTGCCTACTGGGCACTTTTACCCCCTTCATGCCCAAGCCAATTTTCACCTGAAAAAGAAGTTAGAAGTTCTTTTGGTGGTATTTAATCACCACTAGGCACTATAAAAGAAAAAGCGAAACAGCAGCAAATAAATGAAAAAAAAAGAAAAAAGAAAAAAAAAAAGAAAAAAAGCAATTTGGTGGTATTTAATCACCACTGGGTGTTTTTTATTTTTTGCACTATAAAGCCAATTTTCAAAAAAAGAAGCTAATTTTTTAATTTTTTCCAATGTATTTTTTTTTAATCCTTTCTGTTACAACATTTTGCAAATAAATAATCTTTCTACACAAATATAGGCCAAAATGTATTCTGCTACTTGTCTTTGGTGAAAATAACTCAAATCAGTGTTTATTATTTAGTTGGTAGGAAAGTAGAGTCCACAAACTATGGTATATATTTAAAAATTGATCAATTATGATGTGCTGATGGCCTATCTCATTTCTTGAAGCCCAAAAACACCAGGACAGTACAAATACCCCCCAAATGACCTATTTTTGGAAAGTGGACAGTCTGAGGTATTTAGTAAGAGTCATGGCAAGTTTTTTTGAAGTTGTAATTTTTTTTGTCAAAATGTTGTGGAAAATGAAGAAATGAGAAAAAAAAATGTTCATCTTTTTTGTTTTTACATACTGTCACCAATGCAGTGCAGCATCATCATATATATAGCTGTTGTGGCGGTGATCAGGGACACAGACTGGCGACAGCATATATAAAAGAATTTTTTATTAAATTACTTTTTTTACTATTTTTTTTCTACTCCTGTGACCAGAGCAATGCAATGTTACCATAGTAACATTGTACTACTCTGGGCAAGTGATCAGGATTTTTTTTTTTTATTTACATATTACGATTACCTATACCAACAAATTACATTAGTACAAGCAAACATTTTTACTGAATAAAACGGATCTGTTCCGTAGTTTTTGTTGTGATCAGCTGTGATCGGCCAGAGCTGATCAGATGCTACAGATGGGCTGTGATCGGCCCAGTCTGTACATGTGATCACTGTGACCAATCACGGCTCGCAGCACAGTTGTAAGCAGTGAATGGCATGTAAGGAAGCCATTCATTGTTTGCAACTGTCATGTGATCTGCTGTGATTGGTCGCAGTGATCACATGTACAGTCTGGGCCAATCACAGCCCATCTGTAGCATGTGATCAGCTTTGGCCGATCACAACAAAAACTACTGAATGAATCATGAATCGTTTTATTCAGTAAAAATGCCTGTCAACGGCAATGTCCCGTGGGTCACCCGTGAGGTGCGATCCTAGGAGGACGTCATATGACATCCACCCAGGATAATAGGGTTCCCGCTCGGCTGTCATTGAGAAGGAGTTAAGATGATTTCCAAGTTATGTAAACACTGTACTAAACCAATAATGCTATTCATAGAGTTAAAGTGTATCTAAAATGAGAAATAGACATTCAGTACAATGCAGCTTAAGTCCTTTCATTTCCTGTTTTAGGTTATGTTTCCTTTACTTTCACCTGGTGATTCTGCTAGTAACACATATCATGTCCTAGGGTACCAATGCTCACTCAGCACACTGCATCTATGGAGGAGCAGTGTTGTCACCCTAGGAAAAGGACTGAAGAACACTTCCTCATCTCCAAAACATAGGGGGAGGTGTTGTGCTGTTCTCAGAGGGATCAGGAAATAACTCCAAGCCTTGGTTCACATTTGTGCAATGCGATTTTGATGCCATTTTCAATGCAAATATGTAGTTCGACTTTGAAGTAACTGCGCATATTCTGTGGGGCCAAATCACACTGTAAATCACAGCAAAGCAGTACAGGAACCTTTTCAAAGTTGCATTGTGCTGAGTCGCATTGATGAGAACGGGCATCTTTGAATATAATGTGTTTTTCCTTGTTATGTGACTCAAGTCGCTTCAGAAGTCTCACTAGTGTGAACCAGCACTAAGTGATAATGTACATTACAGGAAGTTACCACCTCCCAAGATTTCTTGTAAGAGCAACAGGTATCTGTTTTACTTCTCGAACTAATATACCAACGTGCTTTCAACTGTATATTTACTGGACAAAAAAGGAAGCAAATAGAAGAGATTCACAGTTTACATAAACTATAACTGCTTCCTGACTTATAGCAGAAATACTGCTACAGGGTGGGGAAAAAAAGTATGTAAATTTCATTTGGGTGCAGCGTTGCATGACTGCAGAATTGTCAGTTAAAGTAACGCTGCACCGTAACGCAAAAAATGGCCTGGATAGGAAGGGGGGTGAATCCTCTGGAGGGCAATGGTTAAGGAAATAAAGCCAGTGTCAGGGCAGGGGCCGAGGAATGGACAGGCAGGCCTAACAATGTAACGCACTGGCTGACGACAACCACTACCCACAGACCAAAGTCCCTCAGGGCGCGGAGTCTAAGTCCCAGGCTGCCCTTCACCAGGGCCCCTGATGGTGGGGATGGACTTGACGCAGCCAGGAACCAGGTCGCGGCCCCCGAGACACCTCAGCTGCGGTAATGGCCGCCGCCAATGGCGTGTAGCTGGTAGAAGAGACAAAAGAGTAGTCAGACAAGCCGGGTCAACAACAACAGGACAAAACAGTACAGGACAGCAGACGAGAATCACAGGTCACGAGCCGGATTCAGCAACAGAGGGTCAGATCAAGGGAGAATACAAAGAATAGTCAAGTCGCAAGCCGAATCAGATACCAGGAGAGTCACGAGAGTCAGAACAGAGTAATAGCAACACAAAGACACAAGTGCAAAGAGCATGTGCAGGCCACAGGCTTATATGTCATCAGCCACACCCCTCTGGGGGATGGACCACAGAGACCTGAAGGCATAAAAGGATTCCCATCATGCACAGCAGAATCCAAGATGGACGCCAGCACATGGAGTAACATAACCTCAGGGAAAAGGTAGGACCTTGACAGCCAGATGAAGGTATGAATTACAACCAGGAACCTGTTTAAATTGTAATCAAACCAGTCCACCATCCTTTGAAAAAAAAAATGCAGTCATTCTAATTGGTGTCCATAAGATTGGCTGCCATTTTTTGTTCAGATATCTTTAATTATAATTAGTAAGCTTCATCGGTGAAGGAATTGATCATATGAATACATTCGACTTGCTCTAAGGGGGTAAGAGGGATTTTTCATTTTCAAAATATTGGCATTTCTGCACCACTTTGCCCAGAAAATGTAATTACAAATGTTTAAGTATTCTCATGTTTATTTATATTTGTTTGTATTGGTATGACACAAAAAAGTGGAGAAACAAAAAGCCAAATCTGACCCATTCCACGCAAAACCCCAAAAATGGACTGGACAAAATTATTGACACCTTCACAAAATGGTAAGACAGAATTGCATTCCAAGTTTGTGATGCTCCTGTAATTTGTAATTAAACTCACCTGTATCAATGAACAGGTGCTGACAATATAGAAATCACTCCAGCAACCAGTTAAAATGGTGAAAAATGGACTCAACCTTTCTGTTGTGTGTCTCTGTGTGCCACATGGAGTACGGAGAAGAGAAAGAGCAGCAAAGAATTTTCTGAGGATTTGAGAACAAAAATTGTGGGAAAACATGGGCAATCTCAAGGTTACAAGTCCATCTCCAGAGATCTTAATGTTCCCGTGTCCACTGTGTGCAACATTGTCAAGAAGTTTGCAGCCCATGGCACTGTAGCTAATCTCCCTGGACGTGGATGAAAGAGAAAAATTGATCAAAGATTGCAACAAAGGATTGTTCAAATGGTGGCTAAAGAACCTCAATCAGCTTCCAGACAAATTCAAGATGACCTTCAGGCATAGGGTACACTTTTGTCAGGTCACACTATACATCACCATCTGAATGAAAAGGGACGCTATGGTAGGAGACCCAGGAAGACCCCACTGCTGACACAGAAACATAAAAAAGCCAGATTGGAGTTTGCCAAACTTACCTTAGGAAGTCAAAATACTTTTGGGAGAATGTTCTGTGGACAGACGAAACAAATTACAGCTTTTTGGTAAAGCCTAGCATTCTGCTGTTTTCAGAAAAAGCAATGAGGTCTTTAAAGAAAAGAATACTGTCCCTACAGTCAAACATGGTGGAGGTTCACTGATGTTTTGGGTTGCATTACTGCTTCAGGCACTGGATGTCTTGACCGTGTGCATGTCATTATGAAATCTGAAGACTACCAAATAATTCTTGGATGCAATGTAGGGCTCAGTGTCAGAAAGTTGGATCTCCGTCAGAAGTCTTGGGTCTTACAGCAGGACAATGACTCAAAGCACACATCAAAAAGCACCCAGAAATGGTTTCAGACAAAGCGCTGGAGAGTACTGAACTGACCAGCAATGAGTCCAGATCTCAATCCCAAAGAGCACCTGTGAAGAGATCTCAAAACAGCAGTTGGGAAAATGAACCCTGAAGCAGTTGGCGAAAGACGCATGTTTCAAAATTCTACTAGAAAGGTGTAAGAAACTTACTGATGGTCACAGGAAGAAATTGATTTCAGATATTTTTTCCAAGGGGTGCGCTACCAAATATTAATTTGAGGGTGCCAATAATTTTGTCCAGTCCATTTTTGGGGTTTTGCATGGAATGTGTCAGATTTGGCTTTTTGTTTCGCTACTTTTTTGGGTCATACCAATACAAACAAAAGAAATGAACATGAGAATGCCTAAACATTTGTAATTGCAACAATTTCCAGGGCAAAGTGGTGCATTTTCTGACAGAAATGCAGGGGTCCCAATATTTTTGCCATGACTGTATATATATATGGTATGGTATCAGAGAGTACTTGAGTACAAGTATAGGTACTCATACCCGCTGATTAAACAACAGTATCGGTGCAAAAATAATACAAATACACAAATAATATATATTTTACCTTTTTTTTTCTCTGCAGGCCTATAATCAGGCTCTAACAAAGGATCCCTGCCTAGCTGTTGGATTTTTCCAGAGAAGTTATGTATATTTCCAGCTCAGAAGGTAAATAATAAACTGAAAGGAGTGCAGTATCCATTCAGATGATATAGTCTAGGACTAGGTCAGGGATAGGCAGCCTTTTTCACTCCAGTTATACTGAAACTACAAATACCATCATCCCTCTACTGGTAGTCATGCCTGTGGCTGTCATTCATGCCTCTTGGGACTTGTCGTTCTACAACAGCTGAAATGCTGGGTTGCCTATCCCTTGTCTAGGTGGTCAGACCAAGGGATTGTTTACATGTAGTTTGGATATTCTTCTATTATTGCAAATGTGGGTTTTCTCTGAGTACTCCATTTTTTTCCCCTAAGCATGTTAACTGAAAGCAGACTTAGAGGAAGACTGTGCTAGGGGGTAGTGGGGCATTTACAGTTGCAAGAAAAATATGTGAACCCCTTGGGATTACGTGGAGTTTTGCATGAATTGGGCATAAAATTTGCTCTGAACATCATCTACGTCACAACAATAGAAGAACACAGTCTGCTGAACATAATACTACACAAACATTAGATGTTGCCATGGTTTAATTGCACAGAACATGTAAACATTCACAATGCAGGGAGGAAAAAGTATGTGAACCTTTGGACTTAATACCTAGTTGACCCTCCTTTGTCAGCAATAACCTCAACCAAACGTTTCCTATAGTTGCAGATCAGACCTGCACAATGATCTGGAGTAATTTTAGACCACTCCTCTTTACAAAACTGTTTCAGTGTAGCAATATTCTCGGGATTTCTGGTGTGAATCGCTCTCTTAAGGTCATGCCACAGCATTTCAATCGGGTTGAGGTCAGGACTCTGACTGGGCCACTCCAGAAGGCGTATTCTGTGCTGTTGCAGCCATTGTTTTGTTGAATTACTTGTATGCTTTGGGTCATTGTCTGTTGCATCACCCATCCTCTGCGGAGCTTCAGTTGGCGGACAGATGGTCGTACGTTTTTTTCCTGCAAAATGCCTTGATAAACTCTGAAATTCATTTTCCCATCAATGACAACAATCCGTCCAGGCCCTGAGGCAGCAAAGCAGCCCCAAACCATGATGCTCCCTCCGCCATGTTTTACAGTAGGGATGAGGTTTTGATGTTGGTGTGCTGTGCCTTTTTTTCTCCACACATAGTGTTGTGTGTTCTTCCCAAACAACTCAATCTTGGTTTCATCTGTCCACAGTATATTTTACCAGTAGTGCTGTGGAACATCCAGGTGCTCTTTTGCAAACTTCAAACGTGCTGCAATATTCTTTTTGGACAGCAATGGCTTCCTCCGTGGTGTCCTCCCATGTACTCCATTCTTGTTTAATGTTTTCCTTATTGTAGATGTGTCAACAAAAATGTTAGCATGCCAGAGATTTCTGTAGGTCTTTAGCTGACACTCTGGGATTCTTCTTTACCTCATGCAGCATTTTGCGCTGTGCCCTTGCAGTCATTTTTACAGGATGACCACGCCTAGGGAGAGTAGCAACAGTGCTAAACTTTCTCCATTTGTAGACAGTCTGTCTTACCGTGGACACATGAACATCAAGGCTTTTGGAGATACTTTTGTAACCCTTTCCAGCTTCATGCAAGTCAACAATTCTTGAGCGTAGGTCTTCTGAGAGCTCTTTTCTGAGAGGCATGGTTCACATCAGACAGTGCTTCTTGAAACCAGTAAACCCAAAACAGGTGTGTGTTTTTTAAGGGCAGGGCAGCTGTCAGCAACACATCCGATATCACACTGATTGGAGTCAAGGTTGGCTCACTCCTGGCTCCAATTAGCTCTGGGAGAAGTCATTAGGCTAGGGCCTCACATACTTTTTCCTCCCTGCACTGTGAATGTTTACATGTTATGTGCAATTAAACCATGGCAACATCTAATGTTTGTGTAGTATTATGTTCAGCAGACTGTGTTCTTCTATTGTTGTGACTTAGATGACGTTCAGAGCACATTTTATGCCCAATTCATGCAAAACTCCACGTAATCCCAAGGGGTTCACATACTTTTTCATGCAACTGTACCTCATGGATCAGTGCTATTAAAATGAAGTTCCAATCTCCTAGCTAAAATTATACTAATCACATCATCAAGGTCATTGTAATTCACCATAACTGCAATGGATATTGCTGGCGATGTGCACATTACAGTATATTTACTTACTGAATGATAATTTCTCTTTTCTCCCTCAATTCGGTTATGGAGGATGTGGGCAGCTGAAGTCATCCTGGCTTAATTTCCTGGATTTTGTGCAGCTGGCTACCCATCATGCTCCTCCCGATTTCGTACCTGCGCAGTAATGACACTGCGAGGCATGCTTTGTTCCTCGCGATTGTACCCACACTAGATGCCCGAAGACTCCTTGGATCGATGACATAGATATCCCAGGTGTCAACAGGCCAGGCTGTAGTCACCTAGGCAACCAGAAGTTGCAGGGAAAACCACTGAAAAAAGGTGCTTTCTTAGGAAATTTCACCATATAAGTATTCAAACCCTATATCACTGTGGGTGCACATTACAAGGTGGCTAATTATAAATATTAAGATATGTTGGGCTGGTGGACCTGACTGAAGATACCTCACCACTCAGACAGAAATTGATCTAAAGCAGGACCTGCAGTCAGTGATATGTGCTGGGCATTATGTAGCTACCTGATTCTTGTCCGGACCTGAGATCAAATTATTTGACAGAAGGAAGTCTAGTAGCACCAACTGTCTTTGCAGCTCTGGGATGTCATCTGGCTAAAGCTGATGCTGAAAGATATGGAAAGATGCCACAATAAACTGTGTCCTGTATTCATCACCAACTCTCGCCTTGCCCTCCATTCAATGAGATACCATACCAGATACACTTTGCATGGTACAGTTTCTTTAGCCCATAGAGGCATTATAAAATTGTTGGAAGAATGCTAACGTGTTCTATCATGTAACCAATTCTTTGGCATAGATCATGTGGAATTATGACTGGGAGATCTACCTGTCAGGAGCATTCTTGACAAATAAGAAGCCAGGGGCTGACTTTAGCCACTAAACTACACCTACAGCATGAATATCAGCTTAGGATGAATTAACTTTTTAATTTCTGATTACTTTTTCATGTTCATATAAAATACTATAAAAACCCTCCCATAATACTGGAGAAAATTACTCCCATTGTAAAAGTTAAAAATTAATATATTATTATTATACAGGATTTATATAGCGCCAACAGTTTGCGCAGTGCTTTACAATATAAAGAGACAATACAGCAACAATACAATTCAATACATGAGGGTTAGGAGGGCTGTGCTCCTGGGAGCTTACAATCTATAACGGAGAGGCTGGTGTAACAAAAGGTGAAAACTGTGAGGGATGAATTGATGGGAAAGATAGAAGATTTGGTTATTAGCTGAAGGTAGGATGGGCTTCCCTGAAGAGATGAGTTTTTCAGGGATCGCCAAAAAGTGGACAGAGTAGGTGATAGCCAGACAGATTGGGGTAGGGAGCACCAGAGGATGGGAGAGGCTCTGGAGAAGTCCTGGAGACGGGTGTGAGAGGAGGAGAAAAGTGAGCAGAGAGCAGGAGGTCTTGGGAGGAGCAGAAAGGACGGTTTGGGTGATATTAGGAGACAAGATTGGTGATGTAGCTCGGGGCAGAGTTGTAAATGGCTTTGTTTGTTATTGTTTTGAGCTTTATTCGTTGGGCAGTTGGAAGCCAGTGGAGGGAATGGCAGAGAGGGGTGGCGGACACTGAACATTTGGTAAAGTGAATGAGTCTGGTAGCAGCATTTATGATAGACTGAAGAGGGGGTAGCCTATGAAGAGGTAGGCCAATGAGGAGGGAGTTACAGTAGTCAGGGCAAAAGATAACAAAGTGAGTGAATAAGTTGCTTAGTGGTTTCAACAGTTAAAGAGGGGAATAATTTGGATATGTTATGGAGGTGAAGTCTAAAAACTTTGGACAGTGATTGGATTTGGGGCTGAAAGGACAGGTCAGAGTCCAGGATTACACCTAGTACCCTGGCATGAGGGGAGAGACTGATGGTTGTACTATTGATCTTAATGGGGAAGGGGCATGGGCTGGAGGGAATATTAAGAGCTCAGTTTTAGAAAGATTGAGTTTGGAGAAGTGGTGCGACATCCATACTGATATGTCAGTTAGTAAGTTAGTAAAGCGAGAGGAGACTTAAGTGAGTGAGATGAGGAGTAGAGAGATAGATTTGCGTGTCATCAGCATAGAGATGGTACTGGAAGCCAATGGGAATTTATCAAGTGTCCAAAGAAGGACTGTATGGGTAGGCGAAGAAACAGGAGAGGGCAGAGTCTTGAAGGTCAAGAGATTGAAGTTTTTTGAGAAGGAGGGGATGGTCAACAGTATCAAAGGCCACAGAGTGGTCTAGCAGTATGAGTATGGAGAAGTGGCCATTGACTTTAGCAGTTAGTAAATTATTAGTGAGTTTTAGTAGGGCAGTTTCAGTGGAGTGTAGTACGCGAAAGCCAGACTATATATAAGGGTCAAGAAGGTTGTTGTCAGTGAAGTAGGAGATCAGATAGTTGTAGACCATACTTTCTAAAAGTTTAGAGGTAAACTGGAGTGGAGAGATGGGTCTTAAGTTATTCGGGCTGGTGGGGTCCAGTGACGGCTTTTTAAGTATGGGGGTGATTAGCGCATGTTTTAGAGGGGAGGGGAAGGGGAGCATAGGATAGAAGAGGAGGGCAACTGTACTAGTGAGGGAATTGGGTCCAGCCGACAGGTGATAAGGCAGTCTTCTGAGAAAACCTTAGTGACCTCTTTCGTAGTAGCAAGCTCCAAAAAAGAAAGCGTTGAGGATGGTTTTGTACAGGGTATGTTAAGTGGGATAGATATATGTGCAATTGAGATGCCCCTACGAATTGCATCAGTTTTTTTTTAAGTGATTTGCAATTTCGGAAGCAGTGAGCAAGTTGCTGGGTGGAGGTGGTAGAGTAGAAAGTAGAGAGTTAAAAGTAAAGAAGAGATGATGAGAACTGGTTGACTGAGTATTAATGAGAGTGACAAAGTAGGCTTCTTTGGCAGTATGGAAGGATGAATTGTTTTTTTAGGAAGGCAGATTTATATATGGTCAATGCCTGCTGGTATTTGGTTTTACGCCACAATCACTCCAGTGCACGGCTATTTCTTTTAAGATTTCTTGTGTCGTCAGCCTGCCAAGGTTGTAATGTTTGGGGCCTAATACTTTGTGTAGTGAGAGGAGCAAGTGAGTCCAGTGTCGATGAGAGTGAACTGTTATAGACTGAAGTGGCCAGGTCAGAGCAGGAGAGGGGAGAGATTTTGTCATAGAGGTAGTCAGTTGCAGAGTAGAGAAGAGAAGGATTAAAGTGGCAAGGGTTTCTACTGGTAATTGTTTGCTGCTTGGAGAGATAAGTGGTCAAAGACAAGGACATAGTGAAGGTGATGAGGTTGTGATCAGAAAGGGGGTGTTGGTGAGGTTGTAGGGAGCGCAAAGATGGGAGAAAAAAGGTAAAAATATTACCATCAGAGTTATTATTATTCAGTCTGGTGTGGATACACCTGATTTAACACATAGAAGTACTCCATTTGCCATTCCACGCCAACATATATATAGGGTCTAGATGTTCTTCACACATGGCATAGATCCACCCTGAGAAAGTCCACATTGTGGATGAAACACATCAGTGGTTTAATCAGGAGATTTTACTTACTGACCAGCAGATGACCTTAGGAGATGACACCCCATGCAGCTCTATACTAACACTTGGTCCATCCAGAATACATTTAGTCTAAATGAAAGCCTTGTGCTGCTGTGTCCTCCTTTAGATAAAGTCTTCCTTCTCCAATGTCCCCCCACCCCCGCTTCTGTAATCTTCTGGTGCAGCAGGGGTTAATATAGTTAAGGGCCTGTCAAAGGCTCTCATCAAGAGAGTCCAGCTCTGCCCACCCTTTCCACCCAGCTGTTCCATTCATAGGAGGCATACTACAGCTTATGTGAATGAAAAAGGATTCATGAATAGAAGAGGTGGACCTTTCCATCATCCTCCCATCCTCCATTCATAGATCATAATTTATTCATAGAAACTGTAGTACAGGTTCTCTGAATGGAACAGCTAGGTGGAAAGGGTGGGTATAGTCAGGCTCCCTTGATTAGAACCTGTGACAGCCTCTTATTTACTTTACCTCCTGTTGCACCAGAAAAAGACAGTGGGGAGGGAAGGGCATCAGAGGAGGAAGATTTCATCTAAAGAAGGACCCAGCAGCACAAGGTACACATCCTACTAAAGGTAAGTAACATCCTTTGTGCCTATTTTATTTTTTTTTCAGCTACATTTAGGCTTTTATGAAGAAAGACTATTTGTTTGATATGTTTTATAAATAAAGGAAACATTTTTCAAAATTCATGATCCTTTTTAACTTTTTATAATAAAAAAATTAAAAAGAGCAGTTAATAAATACCACCAAAGCTCTATCTGTGATATAAAATGATACCTCCCTCCTAGATTGTAAGCTCCAAGGAGCAGGGCCCTCCTATCCCTCTTGTATTGAACTGTAATGTTGCTGTATTGTCTCCCGTTATATTGGAAAGTTCTGAGCAAACTGTTGGCGCTATATAATCCTGTATAATAATAATAATAATAATAATAATATATAATTCATTTGGGTACACTATTGCATGGCAATTGTCAGTCAACCTATCACATCAACGAAAACTGAAAAATGACCTGGAAAGGAAAGGGTTGTAACATGCTGGTATTGAGGGGACTGTCTCAAGCCCTTTTATTTCTCCAAATAACAAAATATTCTATGATCTTTTTCCTTGGCAGGTATGAGAAGGCGTTGAGTGACTGCCGCCTGGCCCTAGCTCAGCTGAGAAACAACAGTGTTATAGATTACAAGCAACTTGGCCTCCGCCACCTACTCTTTACCTGGGAGGTAGGAATATGTCTTAGTAATGGGTTACAGGTGTTCTTTAATTGACAATTTCACACCAGTCCCACCTCCTGTGGGATCTTCACAATTCTGTTTTCTTATAGGAAAAGGCCAGATAAAAAAAGAAGCTCAAAATATCTCTGGGTACTTCAAATTGGAACTTTGCTGTGGTTGCAAACATTTTCTTCTTCATCCCTGACCACACATTTTCACACATGCCTCCTGGATTTCCCTTTTGCCAATTCACATGTCTGAAACTCCCTACATCATAATCGGCATGCACCATCTCTATTATAGTTATTTTTATTATCATTATACAGGATTTATATAGCGCCAACAGTTTGCGCAGTGATTTACAAAATGAAGGTAGACATTACAGTTACAATACAATTTGGTAGAAGAGGAAACAGAGGGCCCTGCTCTTTAGAGCTTACAGTCTAGGAGGAAGGTTGAGTGATACGAAAGGTAATACCTGTGGGGGGGATGAGCTGATGGAGGAAATAAATTGAAGTTTACTAGTTACACTGTGTTCCAAATTATTATGCAAATTATATTTTTCTAATTTACCTAAATAATTGATGTAAATAACAGTCAGCATAATTCTCATGTTATCAACTATTAAGAGTACAATTCAAATTTTATTGAACAAACCTCCTAATGATAACAGGATTTTTTTAAACATAAAACACTTCCAATGCACTGTTCCAAATTATTACACACAGTAAGTTTCAAAACACTTTAGAGGTTGTAAAGAACTGAAAATTGTCATTTGTTGTGTTTGCAGCATAATTACTGAAATCAAAAACTTTTAACAACATTTTAACTTTTTAAACATTTTTACAGGTCACGTTACATCGTATCATAGGACCCCTTATTTGATAGCAGCTTCACAAGTCTTGCATCCATTGAACTTGTGAGTTTTTGGACAGTTTCTGCTTGAATTTGTTTGCAAGATGTCAGAATAGCCTCCCAGAGCTGCTGTTTGGATGTAAACTTCCTCCCACCCTCATAGATCTTTTGCTTGAAGATGCTCCAAAAGTTCTCAATAGGATTGAGGTCAGGGGAGGATGGAGGCCACACCATGACTTTCTCTCCTTTTATCCCCATAACAGCCATTGATGCAGAGGTATTCTTTGCAGCATGAGATGGTGCATTGTCATGCATAAAGATGATTTTATTACGGAAAGAATAGTTCTTCCTTCTGTACCAGGGAAGAAAGTGGTCAGTCATAAACTCCACATACTTTGCAGAGGTCATCTTTACACCTTCGGGGACCCTAAAGGGGTCGACCAGCTCTGTTCCCATGATTTTGACCCAAAACATGACTCCACCACCGCCTTGCTGACGTTGAAGCCTTGATGGAACAGGGTGGCCGTTCACCAACCATCCACTACTCTATCCATCTGGACCATCCAGGGTTGCACGGCACTCATCAGTGAACGGGACTGTTTGAAAATTAGTCTTCATGTATTTTTCTGCCCAATGCAGCCGTTTCTGCTTGTGAGCATTGGTTAGTGGTGGCCGAATAGAAGGTTTATGCACAGTTGCAAGACTCTGGAGGACTCTGCACCTTAATGTCTGTGGGACTCCAGAGGCACCAGCAGCTTCAAATATCTGTTTGTTGCTATGTAAAGGTATTTTAGCAGCTGCTCTCTTGATCCGATGCATGGATCTGGCAGAAATCTTCCTCAATATGCCTTTATCTGCACGAACCCGTCTGTGCTCTGAATCAGCCACAAATCTCTTCATAGTGCGATGATCACGCTTAAGTTTTCATGAAATATCTAATGTTTTCATACCTCGTCCAAGGCATTGAACTATTTCACTCTTTTCAGCAGCAAAGAGATCCTTTTTCTTCCCCAATATTGTTTGAAAATGGCGATCTGCTTAATAATGTGGAACACCGTCCTTTAGTAGTTTTTCCTTAAATTGGGCTCACCGGCCAATCTAATTATTACAGGTGTCCGAGATTGTTTTCAGTGATCAAAAGAGCCCTGACACACAATGCCATCCATGAGTTAAACTGAAAAACAAAATATTTCATCTTTTGTGACTTAAATAGAATTTGCATAATAATGTGGAACGCGGTGTAGAAGCAGGATTGTTTAAAAGTGGATAGATTAGGAGATAACCAGACAGATTGGGGTAGGGAGTTCCATAGTATGGGAGCAGCTCGGGAGAAGTCCTGGAGGCGAGCATGGGAGGAGGTGACACAGGAACTAGAGAGCAGAAGGTCTTGAGAGGATCAAAGAGATCGGTTTGGTTGATATTTTGAGTCCAGGTTGGTGATGTAGCTGAGGGCAGAGTTGTGGATGGCTTTGTAAGTTGTTAGTATTTTGAATTTTATTCGTTGGGTGAGTGGAAGCCAGTGGAGGGATTGGCAGAGAGGAGTAGCAGACACTGAATGGTTGGTAAGATGGATGAGCCTGGCAGCAGTATTCATGATGGACTGGAGGGGGGATAGCCTATGTAAAGGTAAGCCAATGAGGAGGGAGTTGCAGTAGTCGCAGCGAGAGAGGGCAAGTGGTTAAGTTGCTCCATCCTAATGCACTGTACTGAACTTCACAGTCTGTTGTACATTGCTGTACTGATCATGTCAGATGCAATTGTTGTATTTGGTTTCTTTTACCTAAATAAAAACCATATCTGTGAAAAAAAAAATCTACCACATTGTGTCTAATAAAGAGGCAGTTACAGATGTAAGTTTTCTAATAACGTTTTTCTGTACAGGTCCTTTTTAACACCGCGATCGTCCTTTGCCACCTGGGGAAATGGGACGCTGCACAGGAGGAGCTCAAAGTGGCTGTTAGCTATCTATCCAGCGAATCTAAAAATGCCCAGCTGGAATCAGCCTTGGACCATGTTCAGGTGAACAAGTTTTGTTTTGTCGATTACTATAATTCACCATGGAAAGTCTGAAAAAGTGCATGCAGAAGATTGCTGTGGTGTCACCCACAATATCCAGTTGGATTCCAGCAGTTACATTTCCTTAAAGTAAAACCATACTGGTTTTGAAAAGTAAATAATTTCCTACAAAACGCACCTTTGGTATTTAAGAAATGGATATCCAGAGCCCCCCTCATATCCGACTGAACAGATAATTGCTGTGGGTACAATGATTTGGGGTCATTTTATTGTATGTTTTTAAACTTTTAACCTTATTTACTATATTTTTGTGAGTTAAAAAGTGAATGAAATATATATATATTTAGATTTTTTTTTATATAAAAGTTTGGTTTATAATAAACATTTACGGTATTAAAGATGAGAAAGAACTTCCATAGTACTATGTTTTTTAAAGAGAGCATAACATGTATTATTTCAGGCATGTTGTCTCTTACTGATATTTCAGATGAAGCCTCTCAGAGGCAGGGGGAGAGAAGGGGGAGGTGTCACTGACTCAAAAACTTTCATGTCTAAATATCAGCTTGAGTTACTGAGTTCTGTAAGCAATACAATTTTTAAAACAAGAGGGAAGGAAAATGGAAACCCAGGAAAAGTATTCTAAAGCTTCAGTGGTTAGTATATTATATACATACTGTATGTATGTAATATATATTTACCTTTATAGAAAATATTTATTTAAAGTGTATTTTTTAGTCCTGATCATAATCATAAAAGAATATATACATTATACAAAACAGTATGCATTCCCATTAAAGGGTAGCTATTTTTTTATTAAACAAATATGTTGGGGCCCATTTACATTTGAGCAGTGTGCTATGGACGCACATGAGTGAGCATTATGTCACATGTCACGTGGGTTGCATTAAGGCAGTTCATTGAAATCAATGAGCTTGCAGTGCACGAAATAGTCCCAATTATTGCATGTGTTACATACTTTTTGCTGCTATACACTATGGTGCATTGGGATTCTTCTCAAATCAATTGCAGTGCAATGTGTGAAAGCATGTAATGTACATTGCAGTATTGCATGTATTGATGTAAATCATCCCTCAAGGATGGCTACTTTTATTAAATAGAAAAATTATTGTGAGATGTGAATAATTACATTGGTTTATAGCATATCACAATAGTATTTTTGTGATGGGGAAGATTTCAGTTCGGAAGTGGACATCTTGTATGGATCCCACAGTTTTGTTTACATCAAAACTTTGTATCTTCTTTGGCATTCCCATGGTCAACTATTTTACTAGCTCTGCTATGCAGCCATGGGCAACACTACTATTAGAGATTTAGAAAAAGTGAGTGCTCTATTACAACTTTATCCCCCCTTTTTTGGTGTAAAGGGCAGACAACGGTTCTCAATCAAATGTGCTTTATCAGATAACTAAAATTTAGCCATTAAGGTTTTAAGGTATTAATAGTTCAGTTTTGTCAGAGCTACAATAAAAATATTATATAATAAAAATATCAGAACCACAGTGGTATGCAAAAATGTAAACATCATAATATATATAGCAAGTAAAACATGATTGCTATTATGATACATTATATTATATTTGTAATATATTATGATATTGCATGATGTATTATGATTTGTATTTCACATTTTTATAGTATGGTCTCTTACTTTATTTACACTGTATTTTTTTTATGAATGTTCTTTGTATTTATAATATGTTCAAAGCCCTGACGAAGGGGTCTGATAATGTCCCGAAATGTGTTGGGTAAAAAAAAAATCCATCTAATAAATAAAGCATCTTTGATTGAGAACTATTCATCTGCCTTTTCCTCCAAAAGAGGTTTGCCCCTTCTGGTTGGGGTGAAGAGAAGTGCCACTGTAAAGCGGGATGGCAGAAGAAAGCTGATCAGCTCCAGATGGTAGTTTATTTATCCTATCATTGGGAGTCTTGGGCAGGTAGTGGGGAAAGTGAAGAAGTGTTCTCCAATCACTTAAACCTCATTAATATTTTACACGTTAGGCCCAGCAGTATTTACTGTTTGCAGCCCTTGATGACACTCCCTAGGTCTATGTCATTATAATAACATGACTTCTCATAGTTACACCTAGATATGACCTAATCATGGAACATGTGTTCTTCCACAGAAACGTGTGTTGCTCCAGCCACTGCATGTACCAGAGAGTGAGCTCTTCAGGCCTAGAAAGCAGGAAGTTGAGCAGCTAAAATCCAAAGATTTCCTGGGGAAACCAAAGGTGATCTTATTTAGTGACAATGGGATGACTCAGTACCAAATGTCAACATTCAAACTTGTGGTAATAACTGGTTGGTTTGGTTCTAAGTGCACATTCCACACAATAATAAACATTGCAGTCATACATCCAGCTACTCTGGCTGTTAAAACATTCCCTTTTTTTATTTTTATTTTACAATTACATTTAATCCTTTGTTATTCTTTTCTATATATTGCCAATGGTGATGGCTTGATTTCTCTGCACTGTGACCAATTATCGGAGCACTTTTTCACCTCACTTATTGAATTAAATATATATATATATACCTAGAAAAGTGACAGCAGAAGAAGAATGAGTGGTCCATCAAGTATTTTTTTTGTTTGTTTTGTTTTTTGCTTTTTTTTTTTTTTTGTTAACGTTGTAGATCTAGAGTTGTCCCAAGCACGTTTGAAGCTATTTACTGTTGACTGCCTCACTACCTCTTCTAGAAATTTATTCCAAGCATCAACTACTCTTTCAGTAAAATAGTACTTTCTGAGATTAGTTTTGAACTTTCCTTCAGTTACCTTAAGGTCATGTCCCTGTGTTCTTGATTTTGGTTTCATGTTAAAAACTCTGCCCTCCTGAACAAAAACTACTCCATCTAGTATTTTGCATGACCTCCATGATTTGTAAGGACAGCACCAAGTCTTCTAGGCATGGAATGAACAAACTGGCAACTTATTGCAACATCTATCATTTTCCATCTTCAAGAATGACCTTTTAGAGCCTGGATGCTGAATGGAGAGTGATGCTCAACTTGTCTCTTCAGAATTCCCCATAGGTGTTCGATTGGGTTCAGATCGGGAGACATACTTGGCCACTGAATCGCTTTCACCCTGTTCTTCTTCAGAAATGCAACAGTGACCTTAGATGTGTGTTTTGGATCATTGTCATGTTGGAAAAGTGCAAGATGACCAAGGCCACCGAGTGATGGTAGCATCTTCTGTTTCAATATAGAGCTGTACATCTGAGAATTTATGATACAATCAATGAAATGCAGCTCCGTGACACCAGCAGCACTCATGCAGCCCCACAGAAGGACACTGCCACCACCATGTTTCACTGTAGGCACCATGCATTTTTCTTTGTTCTTCTCACCTTTGTGATGTGATACAGTTTTGAAGCCATCAGTTCCAAAAACATTTATCTTGGTCTCATCACTCCCGGTAGTCTTCTTTTTCAGCATAGGCCCTGGCAAATTCCAGGTGGGCTTTTTTGTGCATGGGCTGTAGGAGAGGCTTCCTTCGTGGATGACACCCATGCATGCTATTCCTCTGCAGTGTATGCCATATTGTGTCATGGGAAACAATCACCCCAGTTTGGCTTTCTACTTCCTTAGCTAACTGCAGTGAACTTGCATGGCGATTTTCTTCTACCCTTCTCATCAGAAAACACTCCTACCAAGGTGTTAACTTCCCTAGATGGCCTGAACGTCTCAGTGAGATGGTTTGGTTTCACGTTTGCGAAGTTCCAGCTTTGTTAAATTTTTGTTTCACGTTTGCTACAGTATTCTGACTGATAAGTAAAGCTTTGCTGATCTTGTAGCTTTCACCTTTCTTGTGTAAAGAAATCATTTTCTTTCTAAGGCCTTGTGACATTTCTCTTACATGTGGTGCCATTGCTGACACCATGAAATGGGAAGGGGTTTTCTTTGTTAAGTAATGCCCTTTCATAATCAACTGTCTGCTGGACACCTGTTTAATGAATAATTAGACTCACACTTATGCAGGCCATATTTTTTTAAGCGGCCGAAAATAAAATCGGTCGATTTTTCGGATCGTTATTGGGCTAATTGTTCGCCCGTTTTTCGGTATTTTGGCAGATTTTTTTATCGGTAAAGTTGGAAAAAAAATCGGCCCATTTTGACGATCGGCCAATTTATTGCGGCAATTATGGGCAAATCGGCCGATCTTTTTACCGATAAAAAAATCTGTGCATGAGCAGTGACCTGCAAGAGGAAGACAAAGAAGAAGAAGAAAAAAGAAGAAGAGGATGAAGAAGAGGATGATGAAGAAGAGGGGATGAAGAGAAGAGGATGAAGAGGAAGAAGAAGAAGAAGAGGATGAAGAAGAAGAGGATGAAGAAGAGGATGAAGAAGAGGATGAAGAATAAGAGGAAGAAGAAGAGGATGAAGAAGAAGAAGAAGAGGAAGTAGAAGAAGAAGAAGATGTGCCTCTGCCCTGGAAACCCTGATGAAGAGGTTGCCCGGGGATAAAGAAGAAGAAGAGGATGAAGAAGAAGAGGAAGATGAAGAAGAAGAGGATTAAGAAATAGAGGAAGATAAAGAATGAGGATGAATAAGCTGAAGAAGAGGATGAAGAAGCTGAAGAAGAGTGTCAGGAATGGACTGGCCAGCAATGGTGGGACTCACCTGCCTTTTGATCTGCAGTACCAGGGCTGGCCAGCGGGTGCTCCCAGCAATCAGAGACTCAACCTTTCAGCCAGCTAACACCTGAAACTGATGATACTGGTGTATTTAAGGGATGGCCAGACTTGCAGACTCTGCCTTGGTGTTGTGTTTGTCCTGGGCCCTGTATCTGTCCTGCATCCTGTTTCTGTTCCTTTGCTGACCCTCTGTACTACGCTGCTTGCTACCTGTTCTGATCCCTGGCTTGTGACCCTGACCATCCCTCTGCTTGACCCTCTGTACTACGCTGCTTGCTACCTGCTGAACCTGGCCTGTGACCCCGACCATTCTCCGCTTGCTCCCCCTGTACCTACCTGCCCAATTGATATTGACCCGGCCTGCCTGATGACGCTTGCTTGTATGTACTGTTACCTGTGGGTGGTTGGTTTGGTTTGTTTGCACTGTATTATGTTTAGTATTGCACTGCGTTTATGTTTGTATTGTTAGTGTTAATAAATTATATTGTTTATCCATATCTGAAGTCTGCGTTTCCCTGCGTCAGTCACACATCTCTGGTCATACCTGGGAGCCCTGACATTGAGGAAGAGGATGAAGAAGAAGAGGATGAAGAAGAAGAAGAGGATGAAGAAGAAGAAGAGGAAGAAGAAGAGGATGAAGAAGAAGAGGAAGCAGAAGAGGATGAAGAAGAAGAAGAGGATGAAGAAGAAGAAGAGGAGAAGAAGAGGATGAAGAAGAAGAGGAAGAAGAAGAGGATGAAGAAGAAGAGGAAGCAGAAGAGGATGAAGAAGAAGAGGATGAAGAAGAAGAAGAGGATGAAGAAGAAGAAGAGGAAGAAGAAGAGGAAGAGGAAAAGAAGAAGAGGAAGAGGATGAAGAAGAAGAAGAGGATGAAGAAGAAGAAGAGGATGAAGAAGAAGAAGAGGATGAAGAAGAAGAGGATGAAGAAGAAGAAGAAAGAAGAGAATGAAGAAGAGGATGAAGAAGAAGATGAAGCAGAAGAAGAAGCAGAAGAAGAGGATGAAGAAGAAGAAGATGAAGAAGCAGAAGAGGATGAGGAAGAAGAAGAAGCAGAAGAAGAAGAAGAAGAAGATGAAGTAGCAGAAGAAGATGAGAAGAAGAGCATGAGAAGAAGAATGAAGTAGCTGAAGAGAGGATGAAGAAGAGGATGAAGAAGAAGAGGAATTACAGTCCGGCAAAAAGTGTCCCTGCAGAGAGCTCCGCTATTTCTTTGACAGTTCCTTGACATTTATAGTGGCTGCAACATTGTATCTATTTGTTTCCGAATAAAAACATCTGTATCCTAAATGGATACAAATAGATACATTGTTGCAACCGCTATAAATGTCAAAGAACTGTCAAAGAAATAGCGGAGCTCTCTGCAGGGACACTTTTTGCCGGCTGTAGACGGCATGAAAATCGGCCTTTTTTTTTTTTTTTTTTTTTTACCGTTCCTGGTAACGTCGGCCGCGCTTGAACGACCAATTTTTCGGTTTTTTAAAGAAAAATCGTCCAGTTTTCTCCCCATCTATGGCCTGCATTAGTTGAATTCTTGTTAATTAGGATTTTGTTGTCTAAAATTTAGCCTTGCTCCTAAGGCTGCATTCACACTTGAGCGTTTTGTAGCTTGAAGCTTGAAGCTTGAAACTCAAAAAAAAAGCTCAAACTTAAAAAATCAATTGTTCTCTATGGTGCCTGTTCGCACATTCAGGTGTGAACAGGCACCATAGAGAACAATTGCATTTTTAGGTTTGAGCTTTTTTGGAGCTAGAAGCTTCGAGTTTCAAGCTACAAAACGCTCAAGTGTGAATGCAGCCTTAGATTGTCATTTGGGTGTATTAATTTTTGCAACATGGTCTTGAATGAATTTGTTAGGAAAAATACATTTTTGTGTGTGCAAATTAACAAATCTTGTTTGCAATCAATGGCCCACATTTGTGGGAGTTTTTTTTATAGTATAGTGTCCCATAGAAAATGTTGATTCTGAAAGGAAAGTAACAGTTTTCTGACAAATCTATTGGGGTGTACTCATTTATGCTGAGCACTGTATATTTAGCTATTTGCCTGGAATTCATCTTTTAACTGTTCAGTATTTGCCAAAAACTGAAAAATGAGTTCGGGATGGACTGATCCTATAACATATCTGATTTTTTATCACTTAGGTCATCTCCTCTGTGGTTCCAAATGATCAATACAGTGGATTTGAGCCCCTCCGCCCTCAGGTACTGTGAATTTATTTTAAAGTCCTTAAAGTGGAGTTCCAGTCACACTATAAAAAAAATAAAAGTCAACAGTCCACGAAAACTGTACTTGCTGACTTTTAAAAATCAGCCACTCACCTGTCCCTCAATCTCGCGGTGTCCTCTTTGCAGCCCGTTTTACCTGCAATCCGGTTTTCCCAGCTCTGGCATCTTCAGTGTGGGCAACCCGGCTTTGACAGCTTGCGGCTTCACAGCTGGGTGCACCCTGCATATGTGTGAGTAGCGCTGCGCTTTCTGAATGTCTCGTAGTCTTCTGGGACTTGTCACATGTCAAAGAAGACGACAGGGAGTGAGAGGGGGGGGGGGGGCAATTTCTGCTTCCGATCTCCTAGGGAGCTTGTACCTGCCTGTCAATCCTTAATGGGGAGCAGGGGACCAGTCTTTAAAGCGGAACTTCCCCTTTTGGGTGAAGCGCCACTTTAATTTCTCATCATATTGTAAAGTACTGTACAATTTTGTTTTGAGAATATAGAGAACTATTAATGGTTGAATTCTATTTTAAAAAGAGTCTGGACATGTTGGAACCTCTGTCAGGTTTTTCTTAGCATATTTTTTTTAGTTTAAAGTAGTTGTAAAGGCAAAAGTTTTTTTTGCCTTAATGCGTTCTCTCAATTAAGGTTAAAAAAAAAAAACCTTTCAATGCCAGTTCCCCCCCCCAGCACCCCCTTAAATACTTACCTGAGCCTGAACTTAATCCAGCGCTGTGCCTGCCTGCAACAACACTACTCTTTCGGCAGCAGCCATTGGTCTTTTGGTAGATTGGCTTTGTCATGCTGTACAACAACCGTTATTAGAACTAATATTAGAACCATATTAGATGTAAATTAATATATACCAGATAGTTCAGTTTTTTGTCATCTTATCTACTTACCATACCATTGTTGCATCCTTTCTATTGGTATATTTCTTTTTGGTCTTTGAGCTATCTGACAGGTGGTTCTTTTTTCACCATCATGGGTACTTCTGTAGATGTACTTTTACTGACCTCTACCTCTTGGTCAAATCAGCCCCAGGAACTTTTTAGTTTTTCCATAGAGTCCCATGCTGTGTAGTGGAAAAGACCTCTGATTTCTGAACTGTGATCGAGTTTCCAATATTAAAGTGGTGAGTGAGTCTTTGGAGTTGTATACTAAAGGCAAATAGACTGACCATTTTGAAAGTGCAGTTGCTCTAGAGCTTAGAAAATGAGGGGAAGACTTCAATCATCCAACCACGTGCAGGAATAAATGCTGTTTTTTTTTCTTGCATGTGATTTGGGTATCTTTTGTAAAGTGAACCTTTACCTCATTTACTAAGCTCTGGAACAACTGCACTTACAAAGTGCACAGTGTATTTGCCTTTAATGAATCAACCCCTTGCTCATGTTCAGTATGTCTAATGCAAGAACAAGGAAACAGAGGGCGCACCAGCCTAGTGCATTACCTGAGAGTTCGCTTTATTGAGTTAAAAGGAGATATATACATAATGACTGACATGTTTCGAGGGGCGATCCCCTCTTCATCAGAGCCAATATCTATAATAGAGCTAATATATATAATAGATATTAGTTCTGATGAAGAGGGGATTGCCCCTCGAAACGTGTCAGCCATTTGAGGGTCTTCTCGTGTTTTGGGAGCTGACCTGGTGACGTGATTGCTTTGGATACTCATATGCCTTTGTCAACACAGTCATGTATGAGTATATATCTCCTTTTAACTCAATAAAGTGAACTCTCAGATAATGCACTAGGCTGGTGCACCCTCTGTTTCCTTGTTTTTGCAGTGAGTTCTTTGGGTTTTCCTCAACCCTTAGAGGGCAACAAGGCGTGTGCTGATGTTTTCCAGGACCGGAAATATTTCCATCATTTCACCACTCTTGAGCGCAGGAGGCAGTTTTTGTGTTCTTTAGTTTGTCTAATGAATTCAAATGTAAGTGCAGCATACTATTTATATTAACTATTTATGTTCAGATTTTTAGAGTTTTTTATGATTCTATGATTTTATATGATCTTAAATGTTTTTATTGTATGAACACTTCTATTCACATAAGCACTCTATGATTGCATTTGTCACTTATGCTTTAGTGCTGCACTTACTTTTGAATTGATGACTGTGGGTTTGTTTTAAGGGAGCAAATGCAAGGTCTTTACCAAATAAAATGTGTTTGTTGCTGATGAACTTTGCCAGCAGATCCTGCACATAGAGCCCTCCAGCACAGTGCTGTGGTGCTTCCATCTTCACCCAAGGTGGGTGAAGATGGAAGCACCACAGCACTGTGCTGGAGGGCTCTATGTGCAGGATCTGGCTGGCAAAGTTCATCAGCAACAAACACATTTTATTTGGTAAAGACCTTGCATTTGCTCCCTTAAAGCATATGAGCTTTGATACTTGAGGAGGGTATATCTTCACTTGCCAATTGGTCAGGTTGAATATTGTCTACTTGATGACTGCCCGCACCATCCTACCTGAGGAGCCACCAGTTTGAGGGATCCAGAGGTGATCTACATTTGCTTTGTGGCCCTGCGGGGTCGTGGAGTGGAGGTGAGAGGCCATTGCAGCCATACTGCTTGGGATCACGTTTGGAGGGTGTTGTGATTCACCTGCACGTCTTGGAAATAACAGCATTTGTATGAACTGTGGACATTTTATTTTGCACAAAGCAACTGTTATCTGCTTGGCTTCTCTTGTAGATACTCACCTGGTCTTCATTGGGTACCCTTTGGGTACTAGGGGTCACTATCTCTTTTATATCCTCATGTGGATTTGGGTCATCTATTGCCCCGTTAAGGTCTATTTTTTAGTATTCTACTTTATGTAAATCACTTTTAATACCTCTTGAGTGTTATATTATTAGTTATAGCGCTGCATCACTTTTATATTTATTTGTACTATTGTTCCTATTTGGTATAGGTTAGATGCTGGCTGCTTTTTAGTTAAGTTCATTATTTACCGTAAAAGCGCAGGAGGACATTTTTTTTGTATTTTATCTGTGGGTTTGTTACCTTGCCTTTTGTGCTAGCAGCTACCTTATTATCTGTGCTCACCTCATATCTTTTGTTATATCTCTAGTTTGTCTCTTAGCTTGGCCTGTGTAGCAGCAATTCTCTGTCAGGTTTTTATTGTAATCTGTGACCCCATTTAGTGGATTTCCTTCACTTCCTGTGTAGGCTCTGGGACAGGAAGTGAGCAGAATCTCTCTAATGGGGAAGCAGATAACAATAACAATTTATTTTTTGAATTGCGTAGAAAAACAGTAAATCCTTTGTAAGGTTATTGCTATTTCCTACTTTGGGCAGGTTCCCTTTACTTACTGTGTTCTCACATTTATGTTTATGGGAAGTAATGTGAAATTATAATTATGTGATATACAAACAGGAGTAACTCAAATAATTTGGGCTGAAGTTACACTTTAACAGTATCACCAGTATCTTTGGATTGTGTATTACAACTTTGTTTTTCTTCCTGCAGAAACCCGGATTTTATGAGCCTTGTCAGGAAGCCATGCAGTGAGTTCTTGTTTAGTTCTTCCATTTTGGGGCTAGTTCTCAGTGTCCAATACAAACCGTGTGCATCCCACAAGAAAGGGCTGCTTCAAGGCCCCAACTGTTCCAGGTCCATTGTCACTACCAGCTGAACACAGTGACCATGAGTGGCAAAGATTGTGGGGCCTATTTATTATATTTTCAGCAAAAAATCACACATTTTCAATTAAACTTCATTTAGAACACATTGATAAATAGATCTTTCTTTATCTCCACTTAACTATATAATAATATACATGTAAAAACACTCATCAGACAGGATCAATAAATACATGTGTACGCTTATTGCCTCCTCTGTAACCTCTGACATCACTTTGCATTGTCCTTTGTTATACACAAAAGTAAAAATTGGATTTTATAGATGCAACCTCCTAGGAAACAATAAAACACATTTTAAATGCTCATAATAAGGTACATTGATAATCATTTCTTAATATATTTCTATTAAAACATTTATAGCTGGTTATATACCATGCCTGTGTTTAATACATATTATACACAGGTATAGTTTACCTCTGTATTGGAAGGCAACATGTTTCTAGATGGACTGGATTCTTACTGCCTGATTCAAACAATCATTTGGCCTGTTGAATGTCATCTTGGAAAGTATTTACAACAGGGCATGTGTAACAAAAGGTTGCATATCAAAATCCTGGTCCTGGGAGTTCACACAGACCCCCTAGCGGTGGGGCATGGAGATAAGAGGTCCTCAGCTCAGATTCTCTGGTGACATGAAGATTAAAAAAAAAGATTACAGGACTTCTAACCAGAAGGAAGAAACCAGATGGGGACTGGAATGTTGACCTGGGTTTTGGCAATATAGCAGTGCTCCCTGGTGGAGACGACATACTTCCGGGAGGATGGCTGGGGTAATTCTACACTTCCTAATGAATAGGGAGGACAGCCCCTAGAGAGTTCTGGATGTTTTCTCATTGGACGGAGGACTACACCAGGCGGGTCAACGGTATGTGTGTGGGTGGTGCTTGAAAGGGTTTTTAAACACAGTTTTGGCCATGCTTCTGTCTCTGTTTGTCCACCTTTCCTACCTTGGGATCCAGCTAAAAGATACTCAGCTTTGGGGACGAACTTACATAATGTATCATCTTTACTATTATTCCTATATACTCTGTAATATTGGTTTAGATTTCTCTGTTAGTATTTTTACTTCATTTGTAAATAAAATAAGACCTTGCTTCTTTGAGCATTGTGGTTGTTATTATAGCTAATATTGCAGTATATTACGTCCTTCAGTATTGTCAAAGTTTATATATATGCTAAATAATTATAGGAACTGACAAATTAGTACATAATTCTGATAAATAGGGGGGAATTTCCAGAAAATCACCCCCCCCCCCCATTTATTGATTTCACTCTCAATATTTGCCCAAGAATGTTCAAGACATTCCAATACAAATATTTAATATAAATATCAATATAGTACAGCATTGATCATTAAAATTCCATTCAGGCAAGATTTAATATTATTCAATAGTACCTCTGGACTCCTGATGAAGCTAGCTGTGAAACTTGTCAAGTCTTGAATTTGCCTGAATGGATTTTTGATGCTGTTAAACTGTATTGATATATTTTTTGCATGTGTATTGGAATGTCTTCAAACTGTTGGCGCTATATAAATCCTGTATAATAATAATAATAATTTTCAGGCAAAATAATCAGTTATTCAATACCTGTGTATAATAGGTTATACACACTAGGCATGGTATATAGCCAGCTATAAGCATTTTTAATAAAAATTTATTTAAAAAAAATGGTTGTCAGTAAACACTTTTCCTGAATATTTGAATGTTTTTTTGTTTTCTTGGAGGTTGCACCTATAAAATCCCTTTGCTGATGTTGGGAAATAGTGCTAGTAGCTACTCATCTTTGTCTCTTTTTAAAGTGTTACTAAACCCACAACAGTAAAATCAGTCTGTATATGCAGTAAAGCATGCTTGTTATACTCACTGTGGAATCTAAGGGATTAATCCTCTGCATTGTGTAAAAGGCTCTTTGGTCCTGTTTTCTCTGCCCCTCCTTAGTGTGTATTGCTAGAGAAGTTTTTTTTTTTCTTGGGAGAGTGCATGTGATCAGCACTCAGCACTCAGGATAGTAGGGATGCCAGGGGGCATGGCCTGAGAAGCCGCATTTCACATGTATACATTCACACTAATGTCCTCCTGTTATCTCCTGATAAGACACTGCACATGCTCAGTTTGGTGTATATTGCTAGAGAAGTTTTTTTTCTTGGGAGAGTGCATGTGATCAGCACAGGGCTAATCAGTACTGTCCAGACAAAGGTCAGGGGTTCTGCATCCTCCTAGAGCAGAAAGAAAACTCCTCCTACAAGCTTTAACCAGTGCTCTACTGAAGTCACAAGACTGCTCTAACTGCTGATGAGAAAAGATATTTGGCAGTTTATATTTACTAAAATAATTGCATTTCCATGTTGTGTGTACTGTGGGAGACCAGATAGAGTGAATGCAGGGTCCTGGGTTTAGTAACATTTTAATAAACTATGTTATATTTAATTGCGCTGAGCAAACTATTGGCGCTATATAAATCCTGTACAATAAATCCTGTATAATAATTGTCAAATACTGTTTTGAATCCAGTGGAGTGAAGGACTTTATGTGCTGGTCCCCATTTTTGTTTGCATGTGATTTGATGAGTGTAGCTTTCCTATTGCTGTGCTTAGGGACTAGAACACTGAATTAATTTACATTCTGTAACCCTAACAGAGGTCGAGAGGCTGGATATCATCGTGTTTTGGTTCATTATTACCCAGAAAATTCCGGGGAGGTGGCTGTGAAGGCCAACAGCATTGTGTACATCCTGAATAAAGATGGGGACTGGGCTACTGCCATTCACGATGGTCAAGTAAGTAAAGAAAAAATATAATAGAATACAAGACGAGTATGGACCAAGGATTAGATTACTTTTTTCATGTTGTTTGTATGCATGCTACATACTGAGTAAGTGTAGCCCTTAGGATTGTTACCTCTCTCAGAGATCACAGTACTCCCCCTGACAGTGTTTTTATCTCCTTTTCTCTATAAAAGGGACAGAACCATGTTTGTTCAGACATCATTGAATGTCAGCATAATCTTCCTGGGCTGAGATGATGGTTCAGGGATAAAACAATGATGTAAATTCTGGTGCCTGTGCAGTTTTAGGCTGTATTTCTAAATGTCTGATACTGATCAGCCCCCTTCTTCAGCCTCTTACCTTGTTAGTTGCTGCAAATTTACAGTGAGTGATTGATGAGGGGAGAGGAGCTGAGGAAATGCTTCCTGGTGCCCTCCACGATCCTGGTGTCTTCATCATTTTTTTATTATCTCTTACAGAAAATCCTCATTCCCACCAGTTATCTGGAACCAATAAATACACCAAAAGCTGATATGACGGTAACCAATTTACTTTTTTTTGCCTTGCACAGTTATAAAAAAAAACAAGAGTGCTGCTAACTAGTTATAATAGGTGCACAAATGTATTCAAAGATAAGTCCACGCAAACAAAATTTGAGTTGTAGATGGATGCTATTGTGCTGGTTAGTTGAGAGTTGTGCTGACATTAAAATTGTGGGAGGTTTGATGAGATTTGTAAGATTTTATTAGATGTTTGAGATTACACTTACCCAATCAGACCACACAAAGCCCAGCAAGGGAGTCCTACTTTATTTACTGCAGTAAAATAGAAAAAGACTGGGTTCATATCTCTTCGCTTCCACTGTCATGCATTTTTCCTCGTGTTAATGTGCATTTTACACAACTTTGCATGCACTTCCATAGACTTCATTGAGCCAGAAAACACAGGTAAATGCATTATATATCAGACATGCCTCAATAATGAAATGCTTCTTTTTACAGCACTAAAATGTGATTAAACTAAAAAAATAATAGTGCAGCGCAATCATACCAATATATAAAATGCAATAACCCAGTGAAGTGACAAAAAAATAGGTTGGAAATTCTTAATAGGGTGTGAAGACACCCAGGAACAAAGTGCTATGGAGGTCTAAAAACATCAATTCTCTATAGAACATCAATAAAGTGACATAATCAATTCTTCACATGGGTCGACGTCCATACAATGTATGTGTAATATTCAAGCAACCATCAATTCTTCATATGGGAACCGCCCACCATTGTGATTAAGGATACATATCATGCTCCACCAGCTATAAGAAATGGGCGCTCATCTCTAACCTAGACTCATACTCTCATATAGGTCTAATGCACATGACAAACAAACACCTCTGGTTGTTGGGATGCTGTTACTCTGCTCGGTAGTCTGTCATGCAGGATCCTTCTGAATTCTCCCTCAATGTAATAGGATAACATCTAGGGAGATTTCAAAAGGATATGAGAGTATGGGTCTAAGTTAGAGCTGAGAGAATTGATGGTTGCTGGAATATTACACACACATTGTATGGAGGGGGACTCATGAAGAATTAATGGTTGCTGGAATATTACATATACATTGCATGAACAGGGACTCATATGAAGAATTGATAGTTACTGGAATATAACACACACATTGTATGGACAGGGACTCATATGAAGAATTGATGTTTCTGGAATATTACACACACATTGTATGGAGGGGGACTCATATGAAGAATTGATAGTTACTGGAATATAACACACACATTGTATGGACGGGGACTCATATGAAGAATTGATGTTTCTGGAATATTACACACACATTGTATGGAGGGGTACTCATATGAAGAATTGATGGTTGCTGGAGTATTACCACATGTACATTGCATGGACAGGGATTCATATGAAGAATTGATGTTACTGGAATATAACACACACATTGTATGGAGGGGGACTCATATGAAGAATTGATGGTTGCTGGAATATTACACACACATTGTATGGAAGGGGACTCATATGAAGAATTAATGGTTGCTGGAATATACACACACATTGTATGGAGGGGGACTCATATGAAGAATTGATGGTTACTGGAATATTACACACACATTGTATGGAGGGGGACTCATATGAAGAACTGATGGTTGCTGGAATATAACACACACATTGTATGCAGGGGGGACTCATATGAAGAATTGATGGTTGCTGGAATATTACACGCACATTGTATGGAGGGGTACTCATATGAAGAATTGATGGTTGCTGGAATATAACACACACATTGTATGGAGGGGGACTTTTCTGTGTTTTATGGTTTATGTTTAACGTCACAATTGTTTGAATTGTATTATGTCACTTTATTGATGTTTTGTAGAGAATTCATGTTTTAGACCCCATAGCACTTTGTTCCTGAGTGTCTTCACACCCCATTAAGAATTTCCAACCTGTTTTTTTTTTGTTTCAACACTAAGTTATTGCATTATAAATTGGCATTTTTGATTGTGCTGCAGCATTAATTTTTAGTTTATTTGCCTATTGTGGTGTGTTACACATTAGGTGTTGGCAGCAATCACTTTTATCACGTAGCATTCATCTATCTTTTATATACATAATTTTCTTCCATTCACCAGCTTTGTAATATCATTTATTTCACATTAGTCACCATTAGGTAGCGCACAAATAATATCTATTACTAAAATGTGATTGTGGTAGGTGGGTCTTCCAACTTAGCACTCCTTTCAGCTAGTGATGAAATGGAATAGCCCTTTGTGACGAACGTGGTGTCCAACCCCTGTCCTTCTAACCAACTTGTGACAAAGGACCAGCCAATCTCACACTGCTCTGTCACTTGCGTAACGATACTACCCTCAGCTGCACCCTGCACAGAGATTTTCCAGCTCGCGGGACCACAATCTATATGCCAGCAGATTGAGAGCAATTGTCACTGGGTTAATTAATTACGCAATTAACCCTTCAAACTGCCACCAGATAGCTTTGGGACTATCAACTCTTCACAATGTTAGCAAGAACAAATGTGAACAATAAACGTCTGTAAAACACACTGTCACCACAGACAGGTATATTCAGAGGATTATTATATACAGTAGCACTCTTCAAGAGACAGGGATTCTTTAGTTTGCATTAAAAGCCTTAGAGATAATTTTAACACTTTTCAGAATATGGTTTATTAATGAAAAGGTCAAATGGTTCAATTAAAATATTTACAGAAAGGGATGTTACAAAGAAATAAAGAGCACAATAATGCAACAGAGAGATAAAAGAAAGGAGTTAAGAAGGCAGAATACTTGCCGAGTACTTGGTCCTTGGTATTAGCAGAGTCCAATTGTCCAAGCAAAAATGTTGCCGTGGCTCTCTTGGGTGTTCCTTTGTTGATGATAAAACGTGAGCTCTCTTACCAGGTCCTAACATTGCCTTTTCTGTGATATCAAAGGGGTGTGGACAGATAACAAATGACCAATCATCCAGTTTAAGGGATGGTTCTCGGAAGTCAGCAACTACAGTTTCATACTAATATTAATAACTTCCAATATGTGCAGGTGGCAGTAACCGTAACAGTTTCTAGTAACTGACAGAATATTATTCAGAATTATATTTCATATCCAGGCATACCAAACACAGCGTACCTTTGTTGCCCAGGTGGGAGGAAACTGCTTTCTCCCTTTTCATTTGTGCTAGGGTAGTCATGTATGACCTTGATTTATTCGGTATGATATTCCTCATTCAAATATATACCTAATATTAAATGTGTCCTGTTTCATGTTGAATTCTATGAATTGTATGTGGAATTGTTAGGTTGTGGAATAGACATTTTATGGCAGGCTCTACATTCCTAGAGGTTAAATGGCCTTACACGTCATGTGTGACGGCTTGACTGAGTTATTGTTTTATGATAGGTCATAGAGAAGTGTTTTTTCATGGTTTGTGGAATCCTGCCAAGACTAATTAGCTGTTTACAGCTCTGGCCAGGTCTGGACACTGCATTCATTTGTGTTTGAATTAAGATAATAGGTTCTTTTGAAGTTCGTTAAAAGTTACAGCTACAAATTCCATAGTTTGCAAAATGTGGGTGGGGGGAGTAGGAACACTGCTCATGAGACTTTAACAAGATGACTGTCACGTACAGCTTCCATGTCTCTATTATGCACAATTGTTACACCCTACCCCTTGTACATGCAGAACAAAGGTTCATAAGGATCTATAATAATGTTTGGTGGCCTAGGAGCACCTTTTTTCTTTTTTTTTTTTTTTGTAAATTAGGAAAGGTATTCTAAAACACACTTGCTGCAGGCATCTTGTTGTCCCTCCCACACATGAAGCTTAATGTGTCAACATATCAGTTCAAAGATGTTATTCACAGCAGCCAATTAAATTCAAACTAGAGTTGTATGGTTGCATCTAATTGGTGATACATTAGGCAAAGAGAGCTCAAGGAGCAGACCCAATCACTATACATGGAGTATTCTCCGGAATCAGGTAGCAGTGGAATAAAATATTTTGGCAAAGTCAATGACGTTGTTTAAGTGGTTGTAAACCCTTACATATACCCATTAAAGTGACTAGCCTCATGTGATACATAGAGATGAAACAAATCCTCTTACATAAGTTGTACCTGTTTATCTGCATTATTCTCTTTATCCATTCAATGTCCAGAATTTATAAAGCTTGTCTGAGAGTTCAGAAAACGGAGTGGAGAGCTAGAATTACACATGGCAGAGCTCAGTGAGGAGCATTCTGAGAGGTGATTGGAGAGAAAAGACACACCCCCTTCACACAGCACACAGGATGAGAGCTGAGGCTGTCAATTTGCTGGAGGTCCCTACACGTCACCATTTTTCTCTTGCTGTCAAAACTTGTCATAAGTGATTCATGTTGATAGTAGAGGAACAGGGCAGTAGACAGAAACAACACATAGTGCTCTTAACTGAGACAAGTACATATTATAGAGGGATATTCTTTGTTCGTATTTCATGTCTGAGGTTTACAACCACTTTAACTTACGCACATTTGTAGTGTTAGCCATATTGCAGTAACGATGCGCCAGTTGATTTCACATCATAGTTTTTCTTCTTTTCACAGAAAGTGAATAATGGAATCCCTCTACCACCCACAAAGATGCCCCCAACCAGGCCCAATTGTCAAGCCAATGGGTAAGATATGAAACAAGTGGTTAGTTTTTTTGCTGTGTTATGGCTACCCCCTGACTTACATGATGTCTGTTTTCTCTAGGTAATCCATCAACAGATCTGAATGTACCAAAGAGACCTGTCTGTGACGCACCAGAACAAAAAGAGGTACTAAATTGTTGCAAAAAAAGCTGTTGCTATAACTTAATATTTAATCAATAAACTTAATATACTATAAAAAGCCGTAAGCTGAAAAGATACATTTCTTTTCTAGGAAAGTGCTATTGAGAACATTTTGAAAGTACCGTACCCTGTAAAAATGGCTTTGTTCCATTAGGGGTGAGGATCTCAAAACTTCTATTGTGAGAGTGTGTGTATAGAGGATAGATAGAGAGAGAGAGAGAGAGAGAGAGAGAGAGAGAGAGAGAGAGAGAGAGAGAGAGAGAGAGAGAGATCATCATTAAAGGGAGAGAGAGAGAGAGAGAGAGAGAAGTTCAACTCAAGAACCTTACAAAGTGTGTGTTCATTGTACATCAGGGAACATACTGTAGGTTGTGCTATATTTCCCATTGTCAAGTGTACCTGTACCAAAAGTGGTACTTTAGCTGTTGTTGGAGTCTAGTGGGCTCATTTAGCCACCTGACTTTTTATATCTTTTGCATGCTCCAGTAACCAAATCTCCTTGCCATAGCCTATGAGTTTTCTCCTGACAACCTTCAATTATTGGGGGGGTCCCCACTAAAACTTGTCTTTTCCTTTAGGTGTTCTTAGGAAAGGCTTCACTGTGGGAGCTGACTATGTGGACAAGGCAAATTGTAGTTTACTAAATTATCACCGTTGTCACTGCCCACCCTGAAATAGCTGATATAGATTGCAGTCAACTATAAATTCTAAGGCCCCTATCTCATGGGGCAGACTCTGCCTGGAGTCTGCTTGCTCATAAGGGGATCTATCTGTTGATTCCCACTGAGCAGGTGAATGGTTTGTCCGTCTCTGCTCTGCTTATGCAGGGCGCACACAGACACAGCCCTCTCTGTCCGCTTATACCTGAAAGCCACCCAATCTGCTAGATAGAAGGGAAACTAATTTTTATCCGTCTGTTTTTAGCAGATCAGATTGGATGTAGGCCGGTATAAACAGACACATATCCATTTACACCAGCCACTCCATAGAGGAGAACAGAGGGTCTGATCGGGTTCATCTGAAAAACGGACAGGCAGACCCAATTGGATCGCTAGTATGAAAGGGGCCTAAAGCAATTCTAAATGTCTTATGTTCTCTTGAAGCATTTGAGATTGTACATATATTTTTAAAATGTTTTAATTTAAAATGAATAGTTGGTACGTACAACATTCAAAGTAGTGGCTGTTTATACAGTATATGCGTGTCTTTATATGGTGAAGAGAGAGGAAGCATTGTTGGATGTTTCCTCTAGAGCAGGATCTCCAAACTCTCTAAACAAAGGGCCAGTTTACTGTCCTTGAGAATTTAGGGGGGCCAGACTAGGGTCAGTGGAAATAGAAAATGTCCTGGTATCCAGTGAGTGTAAACAATACCATATCTTTGTCAGTGGGAGGACTAGTGCCCCATCGTTGTTCTCAGTGGGAGGACTAGTGCCTCATCATTGGTATTAATGGAAGGAGTTCTGCCCCATTGTTGGTGTCAGTGTAAGGAATACTGATCAACTGTTGGTGTCAGCGACAGAAATTTTGCCCCACTGCTGGTGTCAGTGGATACAATAGTGCCCCAAGGGCCAGATAAAGACAAGCAAATAGCCACATTTGGCCCCTGGGCCACAGTTTGGAGACCACTGCTCTAGAGCAACCATTCTCAAAATTTTTACTTAAAATTATTTTTGGGCCTCGAGGAGTTCCTGCTAAAACCAATTTACTAGCGGCTATTGGGAAAAAATGCCTCTTATATTGGTGGTCAGTTAGGGTTGCCACCTCATCCCTTTAATTACACAGGTTCTGTGGCTGATTAAGGTGGTAATTAAACTCACTTAGTGCCTTATCTGCATTAAATTGGTATCAGAACCTGTGTAAATAATATGTGTTCAGTTTTAAAGGGATGAGGTGGCAACCCTATGGCCAGTGAAAAGAATAACCCCTTACAGACAGTTAAAAGGATCATTGGTGTCATGCTGCTTGCTCTGCCAAATGGTACTCATCTTGTAACTATGCAGGCACCATCAAATAGAAAGGAAATTAGCCAAAACCCAAGGAACCCCTAGCAACCTCTGAAGGATCTTTAGTTGAGAAATGCTGCTCTAGAGAGAACCACATGTTGGACTAATTATTAGATTCACCTGTCTATCCTAGACTGGTGAAATGAAATAAACCCCTTCAGACTTTATCATTTTGTTTACATGACATCCTCTTCTATACAGGAGACAGTGAAGGAGAAAGCTGGTCAACAAATTCCTCTGCAAAAGGTAGAGATGGTTGTCCATTTACAGAGCGTACCAGAAACCAAGCAGGAGATCACAATGGTAAGTATACGAGTGTTGAATTTCCATACTTAACAATAATCTCTAATCAGGTTTCTCTTGATCAGAACAGCTTTTAGCTCTAGTTCACACCAGCGCGCCTTCAAAGCAAACTATTCAAGTATGATTTCATTGCAGCTTGCTGACATTCTGTGCGACTGCATTTGACAGATGTTAATGCAATAGGGTTGCCACCTCATCCCTTAAAAACCCGAACACATATTAATTACACAGGTTCTGAGGCTAATTTAATGCAGATAAAGCTCTAAATGAGTTTAATTAAACACCTTAATCAGCCACAGAACCCATGTAATTAATATGTGTTCGGGTTTTAAAGGGATGAGGTGTCAACCCTACAATGCAAGTCACAATGAAGTCACTCAGAAATAGTGCAGGAACCTTGTTCAAAGTCACACCGATTTGACCAGTTCCATTATTGCAAATGGGGTGCAACTTATCATGTGACTTCGGACTATGTCATATGACAAGTAACACTGGTGTGAACCAGGGCTTAATCAAATCCTTTTCTAAAAGCACAATGGAAAGTAAACTGCTAACCTGTAAATAGAGTAAAGAATTGGGAGTGGGATGTAGCCCAAAAATCCAAGAATTCCAATAGCTAACATCTTAAAGTGACACTAAACTCCGGATTAAAAAATAAAAACGTCTGTTCAGCTACAGTGAGGAACAGAAGTATTTGAACACCCTGCGATTTTGCAAGTTCTCCCACTTAGAAATCATGGAGGGGTCTGAAATTCACATAGTAGGTGCATTCCCACTCTGACAGACAGAATCAAAAAAAAAATTCAGGAAATCACATTGTATGATTTTTAAAGAATTTATTTGTCTTGCACTGCTGAACATAAGTATTTGAACACCTGAGAAAATCAGTGTTAATATTTGGTACAGAAGCTTTTGTTTGCAATTACAGAGGTCAAACATTTCCTGTAGTTCTTGACCAGGTTTGCACACACTGCAACAGGGATTTTGGCCCACTCCTCCACACAGATCTCTTCTAGATCTGTCAGGTTTCAGGGCTGTCGCTGAGCAACACGGAGTTTCAGCTCCCTCCAAAGATGTTCTATTGGATTTAGGTCTGGAGACTGGCTAGGCCACTCCAGAACCTTGATATGCTTCTTACGGAGCCACTCCTTGGTTATCCTGGCTGTGTGCTTTGGGTCGCTGTCATGTTGGAAGACACAGCCACGACCCATCTTCAATGCTCTGACTGAGGGAAGGAGGTTGTTGCTCAAAATCTAACAATAAATGGCCCCATTCATCCTCTCCTTAATACAGTGCAGTCGTCCTGTCTCCTTCGCAGAAAAGCACCCCCAAAGCATGATGTTACCACCCCCATGCTTCACAGTAGGGATGGTGATCTTGGGATGCAACTCATCCTTCTTTTTCCTCCAAACACGTTGAGTGAAGTTTAGACCAAAAAGTTCTACTTTGGTCTCATCTGACCACATGACTTTCTCCCATGTCTCCTCTGGATCATCCAGATGGTCATTGGCAAACTTCAGACGGGCCTGGACATGTGATGACTTGAGCAGGGGAGCCTTCTGTGCAATGCATGATTTGAAACCATGTCGGCGTAGTGTTCTACCGACAGTGACCTTTGAAACTGTGGTCCCAGCTCTCTTCATGTCATTGACCAGCTCCTCCCTTGTAGTTCTGGGCTGATTCCTCACCTTTCTTATCATCAGTGATACCCCACGAGGTGAGATCTTGCATGGAGTCCCAGTCCGAGGGAGACTGACAGTCGTCTTTAGTCTCTTCCATTTTCTAACAATTGCTCCAACAGTTGATCTATTTTCACCAAGCTGCTTGGCAATTGCCCCTTAGCCCTTTCCAGCCTTGTGGAGGTCCACAATTTTGTCTCTGGTGTCTTTTGACAGCTCTTTGGTCTTGCCCATGGTAGTAGTTGGCGTCTGACTGACTGTGGGGTGGACAGGTGTCTTTAAAGAGCTCAGACAGGTGCTACTAAGTTAGATTAATGAATGGAGTAGAGGTGGACTTTTTAAAGGCACAGTAACAGGTCTTTGAGAGCCAGAATTCTTGCTGTTTCTTAGGTGTTCAAATACTTCTGTTCAGCAGTGCAAGACAAATAAATTCTTTAAAAATCATACAATGTGATTTCCTGAATTTTTTTTTAATTCTGTCTCTCAGAGTGGGAATGCACCTACAATGTGAATTTCAGACCCCTCCATGATTTTTAAGTGGGAGAACTTGCAAAATCGCAGGGTGTTCAAATACTTCTGTTCCTCACTGTATGTATTCTTAACTCAAAAATGTACCTTCTAGTGCGCTCTGCCTCCTGAAAATTCCTTTTTTTTGCTGCTGTGATATGACTTCCTGTTAGAGGGTGGCTACCTTTGGTTTTCATGGGCTCACTGTATGTAGGAACATAGCTACCCTCTCTTATTCACACCTAAGATGGACTAGAGGCTATGGACTAGGGGATTTGTAGTGTGCATAGAATGGACTGTAAATCTACTCCCATATTTCCTTGACATAAACAAGGGAGAATTTTCTGTTCAGCCTACAATGTATGGCATACCTAACATCTTGCAGCTCTCACATTCTGCCCCCTTCCTTATCCATACACTAGCCGAGCTAAGCTTGTAAACTATGTTTAGCTCTTTTTTTGTTTTGCCTGAATGTGGTCAGATTACATAAAGTGTTACTAAACCCCAGACCCTGCATTCACTATATCCGGTCTCCCACAGTACACAGAACATGGATAATGCAATTATTTAGTAAATATAAACTGCTAAATACCTTTTCTCATCAGCATTTAGAGCAGTCTTGTGATTTCTATCAGTGTTCAGCAGAGCACTGGTTAAAGCTTGTAGGAGGAGTTTTCTTTCTGCTCTAGGAGGATGCAGAACCCCTGACTTTTGTCTGGACAGTGCTGATTGGCCCTGTGCTGATCACATGCACTCTACCAAGACAAAAAATGTATCTAGCAATATACACCAAACTGAGCATATGCAGTGTGTCTCCACACCATATGTCTTATCAGGAGATAAGAGGAGGACATTAGTGTGAATGTATACATGTGAAAGCCTCAGTCAATGTGGCTTCTCAGGCCATGCCCCCTTGCATCCCTACTATCCTGAGTGCTAACGGGGCCCCACACCCCAGCCTGAAGCGGCACCACCAAGTACTAATGGCCTTTTTTTTACATGAGTTTGAGACACTTCTGAGGTCATTCAGAATGAATTGCGGGTGCAGTTGACCTGCATTTGACCTGCTTCAGCTGCTTTTACATTCACATAGATATGTAGGGGGGGAGATGCAGTTCTGATTCAAATCAAAGCCTGTTGAAATTGTCCCAAAAGGTGGCTTTAAGCAGTGGAAGGATTAGCCTATTGATCAGAGTAGAGGAGGCCATCTGCACAACCCCCATACATTAGAGGAAAATAATGGCAGTCAAGCGTGGGTTTTGTACATAACCTGTCGATTATTTTTTCCGCACAATGAGCCTTAACCCATTGTGCCTGCAGGTAACATAAGATTGATCTGATTTCACCCATTTTTTAGAGATTGTCATCTATTGTTTAGGCATCTTTAGGGACATCTTCCAAAACTCTTATTACGGGATCTCTCCTTGGTAATTACAGGAATTTCATGGAGCATGTTTGCTTTTCTAGCCTCCTCTGACTATTGTCAAACCCACCAAGACTGTGCACTCGATTCTCTTGCACTCTTATGACCAATTAATTTCTTCCTCCAGGCCAAGCAAGATCAGATGAGCGCAACACTGCCTGTAGGTGAAGAAGACAGCCTAATATCATTACAAGTACATACGGAGTTCACTGTAAACCTGTCAGTGAGAAAGGACATCACTTATACTGAGCTACAACAGCATCTCAGACAAAAGCTGAAGCAACATGGAGAGCAGATGAACATACAGCTGAGGTACAAACATAATGGTTGCCGATTTCCCGTAGTCTTCAGTTACACCATCCTGTTTTTCGGACATTGAGTTTTTTTTTGTTCTATAACTTCTTGACTTAACTAGTAACTGTAAAAAGATTGGTACTATAATAGTAGTAATGCAGCCATCTAGAATTCCATTCTCAGTTGCTTGAGAAGCCGCATTGACCAACTAGTGTGAGCTGCTTTCTGACTGGTTCCTGTGAAGTATTGCTCATAGTTCAGTAAGCTTGTTTGTCAGTAGCAGCACCATCAGATGCAGTTTACTCTTGATGATCTGTTGCCAGAGGTTTTTAATCTCTAAAATGACCCCAACAGTTGCCTGTTTCCCCCCATCAAAAACTTAAATACCAAACTCCTCAAAAAACCTTTAACATTTAACCCAAACCTTGAGTGAATAATACTCACCTTCAAAAAAACCAGAATGTGCTGCATGCTGCCCAGCAAGTTACCATAAACGCTCCTATTCAACTTGGCTGCAGTCCCATTGGCTGTAACTGCTTTGCATTTCTGTGGAAACCCTATGGGTGACTTTGGTGGGTGGTGTGAAAGTTTAAAACAAAAGATAAAGGGGACCAGAAGATAAAACTTGAACTCATCCTTTAACCCAAAAATGTATACTTAACCTCCAAGATCATAACCTCAACATTAACTGTTAAACCGCTCATGTGCTCTGCCTATGCAAAGCAAGGCAACAGATTTACTTTAGTCACAAGGAAAAATGGAAAATTCTCTGTACTTCGTTATGGAGGAGCATGTGACTCCCCTTCTTCCCTCATGACAGCTGACACTAGGTAACTGGCAACAGCATTAAAGTGAACACTAAGATAACCCTTCCAGATTTGTAGATACCTTCTTTTGCACCAAAAACATCAGACTGTCCTGTGTCAAGATTAGCACCTTTGAAAACCCCTGGTCCAAGGTCTCCCTGTGCTAAGATTTTGGTGGAGAAAATAACTAATTGATAAAATTTGAATGTCTGCTATGGGAAAAAAGGGACTCTCTGAGATAAGTCTGCATTAAGACACTAATAAATGTGGCCAAACAACATGGGAACATTGGAACAATGTAGGCATGCAACTTCCCCCATTGTCAGCATTGTGGTGATTGGATGGTTTGTTAATTAGTTACAGGGATTCTGAAGGGAAGCAAGTAACTCCGGTGAAAGGAGATGCAGACCTCAAGGGAATGTGGGAACAAGCCAATCAGAAGAAGCTTATCCTGTGCTGTAAGGTAACCAAACCCAAAAACCTTTATTAATCGTTGCTGTTTTTGTTCTTTTCTATTTGGTATTAGAAAACTGTTGGCAAAATTTGCCTACATTCAACTACAATTAGATGTTGGGCATCATATGGATTGGGGTTTATTTTTTCCTTCCGCTGGCTTATCCACAAACTAACTCTGTATGGACCTAGCTTTGTGTACAGGGAGCATTATCTGGATGAAACAGGGGCATTAGAAAACAGCATGCATGGAAATCAACACTCAACTGACAGTGATTTTTCCTAAAAATTGCATCACTGTGTGGTTATTCAACAATAACCAGTTACAATAATAAAAAAGAATTGAAGATACTTTACTTTTGGCCTAATCGTTGGCTAATGTTATATTTGGGTAATACAGTATGTTATGGGAGTACTTTAATATCTGTTAATGTATATCTGCAGGACACATATAACTGTGTGGGTAGACCCATCCTATATCACATGAGAGCCATC